CCTCCACACGACTGCCGCCCCAGCCGTGACACAATACCTGTTAATGGTTCATTTGGGTCCCTCAGACACAGATACAGTAGATCAAGGAAAGAAAGAAAAAAGAAGGATCAACAATTACATTCACAGAGAGATTTGGATGTTCAGACAGATGCTTTCAAATGCTGGACAGAAGATTATGTCAGTAATCTCTGCAATCAGGGGAATGAGAACGGGAGAGAGAGAGAGAGAGAGAGAGCTTGACATCCTGCAGGGACAGAAACAGATAAAAGTCAACTGTAAGGTCTCTGAGCAGTATGTGGAGAGTAATTAAAATGTATATAAACAGTGGAATTATGCAACAGTTACACAACCAACAACAAATACAAATTAGAGGCTTTTTAAAATTTGTATAAATTTGCATAAACAGACCTGTGTCACGTTTCATTTTGAACATTTTGGGAACACCTGAAGGTTCCCAGACACCAAACATGATGTTTTTGAAGGAAGCATCTGAAGTAAATTTATTCTTCTGTGACTTGAAGTGAATAAAAAAAGTAAGGCAGATGTCTCTAAGAAACTAGAACAAGAAAGTAGGTCTTTTTCTTATGAAACAACATTAATCTTTTATGCAGACACTTCTGTGTCTTGTGTAATTTAAGAAAGTGTCCACTGTTAAACAGGACATCTGGAGATGCGTGCATGAAGGATTTGGCTCTTATTTGTAGATAAAATATGATCATGGTGATTTTCCGATCAGTTTGGTTTGGTGACAAATTTCTGCTACTGCAGCAACATAAAAGAGGAGATTTTGATGCCGAGGTATTTAAAAATCCACACAGTAATACTTGTTTCTTAAAACCAATTTTAGATTATTTTGGATTATCTACAGACCATACTGAGAACACCAAGGATTCGTTAAATCTGAACTATTCACAGCGGGATACAAGGATTGTACTATAAATAGTTTTGTTTTTTTGGTTTGCTTTTTAGGGTTTTTTATTGTTCAAATGTAGTTCTTCCTTTTTTTTAGTAGGACAGTTACAGATAATGCATTATTAAGGTTTGAGTCATCAAAAAATATATATGGGAGAAGATAAATGGGAAAGGATGTAATAATAAAGAGTCATTAACAAGAAATTT